GAACACAAAAAAGTTATCCTTAAGTATAACGGAGTTAGTATATTAAAATAGATGTGAAGATAATGCAACTGTAAGTGCATTTTGAATAATGTTAAAAACAATTTCATCTATATATTTACCACGTTTATCTTTAGTAAAAGAAAATAAGGACCATTAAAAAATGATCGATTTTATATAAATTTATTTTATTTTTTTTTAATAAGATCATACGAAGATTATGAGATATCATATTTGCAGCATTATTCATAAAGATTATTTTAAATACTTTAAAACTGAATTGTGTTATGTTTTCTGTTTTAATTATTATGCCAGCAAACTCCCCCATCTAACACCATCGGGAGGTTTTTTAAGTCAGATCCCAGACAGTCATCATTTCGCGGAAAACCTCAACGTTTACAATTTCTAGAAGGTTCGAAAAAGCCAGTACATCCGAAATGATACAAGTGCACAATCATCTCTGTTCGTAATTGTAAAAATACTCCCAAGTCATTCGACATATGGAAAACTAACCATTAAGAGTTCCGGAAAATGCAAACCCTTGAGTATCTAGCGAAAAACAACGCATAAACACATCTGGCGAGAACATGCCATTAAGTATCTAGCGAAAGCAAGTCATAAAGATAGCCGACAACACTGACTGCAACGCTACTAGGATGGAGAAGGAAGATTGGTACTACTTAGAAGTACTGGTGGGACATCCCACCACTTAAGAAGCTCTCTGACTGGAGATAATATAAACTAAAGGATACACTAAGATGGAGAAATCTGATTGCAGACGCCATAAACGACAGGAAAGCTTTGATTAGAGACGCTAAAAAGGAGGGAATTCTCACGGATCACCGCGGGGCCAAGAGAATGCCCTTAAAAAGAAGATGCCGGCAAGGCACAATCACTTATCTTATTGAAAAAGAACAAGTTAAGTAAAACGTACTCACACAATCAGAAAATCTAAGAACAGATAATAACGCTAAAATTATTCAATTTAAAATAAGTGCGGGATAATGAAACATACGCAGTCAGCAGTGCAAAAAGGAAAAAGGGAACTAAAAAAAACAGTTCGCACAGAATACATAATCATAATCTACAAGGAGCCGCTCCAGGCAAATTCAGCAAACAATACGAAGCATAACCAAAACACAACGTGCAGAACTAAGAGGTAAAGTTCCATTCCTAATTAATACATAACTATAACGAGTCGTACGCGGCCAATCTGCAGATACGGAAACGTCATTAGCTACCTGCAGAACTCAAAACACAAACAACTCAAGCTATTGCCACATACCATTACACGAGAATGCGCGGGGGTTTACGACCTTGTTCTTCTGCGTGTATTACTTCACCACCACGTGCATTACATATAGAGAACCAGAAAAGTTACTACCTTCTACCTGTACATGCAACGCACATTACCGCTCTGTGGCAATAGTAATATAAAACTCAAGAAACGAAGACATTCAAATATCAACTAAAAATCATTATAATATAACAAATGCAATTATCGCAATAAACTACAACAAATAACGAAACTATTTAATATTGAATACATACACTATCTTGTCCTCTAGCCTGCGATCCTCCTACCAACCATCTGGGAGTTTACACCTAACTTTAGATATTTGGCCCTCCTCGTCCGGTACTCTGTTTTTAAACAATCTCCATTGTTCTGGTTGTTTCTCGCACTACAGTCGCATCCACTGTTTCTAGCACAATAATCGTATCCATTATTGTCAGTTAACAAAGCTACCGCGAGGATATTTAAGGCACACGCACCACGTAGCGTAGTAGTAGATTTTTAGTCATTGACGCAGTCAGTCATGCTAATCACCAAAACAGAAAGAAGATGCGTCAATTCACTTGTGCTGTAAGAACAGGGATTTACACTATTTCCTTCATATCAAATAACTCAACATCCACACGGATCATTCTGAATAGTTAAATAAATTATCATCACATTAACACAGAGCATTCGTGATGGTGAGCCATTCATCATAGAACCAGGTCAAGGCTACTGTATCTCTGTGAGTAAACCAAGTCTAAGGAATAAATCATTGCTAAATCGTACAAGGTTAGCATGAGGCTATTACTAACAGAAAACACACTCACAGTGTAATCAGTGGTTGATCCTTACAAGATTAACAAGATCACCATCAAGGAGCATCTCGTGCAGATAAACTATTCGACACAGGATTAGTTCGAAGTATCTGCATCGTTGTGATTGAACATAGTATATAACATTCCACTACATGAATCCAAGACATCAACAATGTAAATAAACCATAATAAATCATATTTACAAAGAATGCACGTACTGTTTCTACAGCCCTTCCACTTAAGTCCTTCCCAAGCATCTGCTAGGGTGGGCGGCAAATTATTATAAAGCTATCGAACATTGGCAGTTCGAGACAGAAAATCCAAGATTTCTCAATTTCAACATTCGAATTATTGTTGTATCTATACTCTTCGGAATCACACTGAGCTCCTTGGCCGTTTTACGTAAATAAAATAAATAGTAAGTGGTGCCATTTTTAAATGAATTCGCGGTCTTGCTTATTTTGCACTTTTTTTTCTTTTCTATTTTTATATTAATTATATTTAATTTCCAATTAAAAAATTTACTATTGTTATAATATTAATAATTTTTATTATTGTTTATAATTATTTTATAATAAAAATTAACTTTATTATTTCAATAAAACTAAATCGAAATTTTGAAAAATGAATGCCATTGAATGTGGTTATGATCCTTATAGAACTCACCGGTTACCATTTTCAATACATTTTTTTTCATTTGTCTATGATTTTTAATGTTTTATATAGAAATTTCATTAATTTTACCAAGAGTAGCAGAAATAGAGTCTATAAAATGTCAACATTATTATACAATTATATGAATTCTTTTTATTTTATTTATTGGAATCTTTTATCAAATTTGAAGACGGTGCTTCTAATTGAGCCCCTTAATATTATTTAATAATTTAATTAAAATATTAAATTGCAAATTTAATAATGTTATCTTATAACTTAAATATAATAATAAGGAAAATTTTCTTTAAATACATATTAAATACCAAATTAACAATTTAGTTTATTCATATTTCAAGAAATATAAATAATATAATTATTTTATAATTTAATTAGAAATTCAATATTACATATTTCTTTAATTGGGACAACTTTAATTATTCCACAATATTATTAACAATAATATACCAATTCAGATTTCAATTAATAAAATTTATATAATATTTTATATACTTTAAACTTTTAACGTTTATAGTTTTTTAACTTAAAATTTTTGTAAAGTTATTAAAAAAAAAGTTCTTTTTCAACTTAAATTTTTTAATAATACTAAATATATATAAAAAGGGGAAACCCCAAATTCCTTATGATCATAAAGCACTAAAAGATGAAACTTTATTTCAACGCGTGTATGCATCTGGATAATCTGAATATCGTCGAGTATAACATATAATCCTAAAAAGTGCTGAGGAAAAAAAAGTTAAATTCACCTCAATAAATAATCTTAAAAATTGAATTTTTAATAACAGGTAATTTATTCAAATCACAATTATTAAAGGAAATCAAAAAATAAATCTTCCTACAATTGAAAATACAGCTCCTATAGATAAAACACAATGAAAATGAGTAACTACATAATAATTACATGTAAAACAATATCTAATGGTGTATTAGCAAGCATAACTCCAGAAACTCCACCTACTGTAAATAAAAAATAAAGCCAAAAACCCGTAATAAAAGAACAGGAATTAGAATTTTTAATCCACATAATGTACCTAATCATCTATAAACTTTAATGCCTGTAGGTGCACCAATAACTATACCTACCGTAAATATATGATGACCTCAAACTAAAAAACCCAATAATACTCCGATACTAGCTATTGCACAGATTATTCCAATACCACCAAATCCACGTAAATTTAAAATAATCCTCAAGATGACCAAAAAACCAAAATAAATGTTGAAATAAAATAGGATCACCACCCCCAGAGGATAAAAAAAAGAAGTATTAAAATTACGATCAAACAATCGTATAGTTAAAGCTCCTGCAAAAACAGGTATTACTAATAAAATAAGTACTGAAGTCACGAACATTGACCCAACAAATGAAGGTAATTTTATCATATGAGCAATTTTTACATAACAAGTTGTTCCAATCATATGACTTGCCCCTATAATTGAAGAAATTCCACCTAAATGTAATGAAAAAATGAATAAATCTACTGAAATACCCCATGATAAGGTTTATAAGATAATGGAGGATATATTGTTCAACCACTACCTGTACCTCCATCTAATAACCCCCTTAATTATAAACATATAAATGCTGGAGGTAATAATAAAAATCTTATATTATTTATTCGAGGGAAAGCTATATCAGGTGCTTCTAATATTAAAGGAATCAAATAATTCCCAAATCTCCCAAACATTGTAGGTATAATGAATAAGAAATTATTATTATTACATGGCTAGTTACAATAGTATTGTACAATTGATCATTACCTATAAAATTACCTGGTGCAGCCAATTCAATACGTATAAATACGAAAAGAAATCCCAATAATGCAGCTCAACTACCAAATACTAAATAAATAATTCCAATTGTGATTTGTAGAACATATTCACTTTCTCATTAATAAATTTTTATACAGTTTATTAAAATATTATATTATCAATATAAAGATAATTATTAAATATTTTAAAAAAATATTTAAAAACAATCACAATGATCTACAATTTTATATTTTAAAATTTAACTATTTAAATTAATACAAAATAATCATTATAATTCAAAAAAAGCGCTATACCCTCAATTAAATGTCTAATTTCTATATTATTTAAATAAACAAATTTCCTTATATTTTGAGTTACTAATAAATTAATACTTTCTTTAAACAAATAATGTCTTCAACCTTTCTAAACAAATATATAAATTTTTTCCCAAAATTAAAAAATAATAAATTAATATTGGAAAAAACTCATTCCCTAATCATAATTTCCTAATACAAATACATAAAAAATTATTTAAATTAATTTTCTTAATAAATACGATCTTACTAATTTATATTGATAAAAAACATATTAATAAAAAAATAATTTATCTTCCATAAATATAAATATTGTCTTAATATTTATAAATAGAGCTTATTTTGTAACAAACCTAAAAATTAAAGTTAATACTAATAATATTACTATCGATAAACTCATTGTAAAAAACTCCTCCTACATTTTTATAGGAAAAAATGTATTATCTTTAACTCTTAAAAAATGTATTATTGTAAATAATAGGCCATAGAAGTCTAAAACAAACTATTAATTTCATTAAATAAGGAAAATTTCTTTAGAAAATAAACTCTAAAATTTTATCTTTAGAATAATAACCTGAAAGATATGATTTTTCACACAAAGAAAATCTAGAAACTATTAAAATAGATTATGCCTACGGTATCCTACTTTTAACATTTCCTATTACACAAATACCTTGATTGTCCTTTATAATATGAATAATTACTATACATATAAATGTTATAGATTTAAAAAATGCATGAACAATTAAATGAAAAACCACAATTCATATTGTTTTATCCCAAACATTATGATTATCATATTGTTTCAGACATTTTTCAATGCAATAAAACATCTGGCAAAGCAATATCATTAAATTGTCGTTCCTCTTCAATGAAACTCCTGCTCTTTCTGTATCAAGCTAGAATGTCATTAAACTTGATCAAAAAGTTTGAAGAAAACCTTTCAGGTAAGTACACGGTATATTCGATATAACGGTAAGTACATCTGGAAAACACTGAAAATTAGTCATGCTAGTTACCTCGCATTGCCAATGCGTTCATTGTTTGACGCGTTAATGACCTAAATATTTACTGGCACAATTGGAAGTGCCAGATGTACATACAACTCTTGACTATAAAAAACGTTTCTTACTTTTCAGTGTAACCAAAAACCCGAGCACGTGCGCATTTGGCATCTTAAGATAATGCTTACATTGTTCTCAACTACGCCGCATCTTGCCGTTCGCGCTAGCCAATCGACAACGCTCACAAAGGACCTCCCATATCAATAAGTCCCAGAGAAGAGAGAGAAGACGAATAGGAGACGCCTCCCCCTTCAGACACTTTCCCGATTTTAGCCTATTCAATATTAAACCCGAAAGGAAGTGGAAATGAAGGCGTGCACGATCAATTCTGATTGGGCACAAGAAAGAAGAAAGGGTCCCTAGTAAACCGGGACAGTAATTTATTTAAGAAGGACAATTGTAATGTACCATCACTTATTCTCGCGAAAAGTCGCAACCTATTCTCAAGGAGGAGGAACAGAGAAAAGTCGATCGATTGAGTCTTATAAAATATCTTTCTATTTCTGTGGTTCAATATCTAGTTACATTTAGTCTCATCAAGCACCTACAGCACAAGGACTGAGATTCTCGTCATCTTAGTAAGAAGAGACAAAGGAAAGTCCAAGTGCAAGCAGTTCGTGCATGGAAGCTTCCCGTCAAGCCTGTGAGGAGAAACTGAAAATATCACACTACAACTTCCAAGCAAGTCCTTATCTCTATTGTTGATACTTCACTTCACGGCTTACTCAGTTATGGACCGCAAACTGTCCGAGTCCAGAAGCTTCCCGCGCATGCTCAACTCGCAAGACCAGCAATTCGCGCCATTGATTGGTGCGCATTCCTCTAACCTCTATCTCGGGCTCGTGTTCACTCACACAGCTCATTATTTAGAGATAACAGCAAGACGTGTCAAGATCATGACACAACCAAGAATTGTAGTATTCGTTCAGAACACAACAACGATTATAACCTCTCAAGTGTTAATATCCAATTGTTTATAACCTATCTTTTTTCACAGTAAATCATTATTTCACCCGTTATATCCAAGGAATAAGGATTTCCTGAAGAATAATAATCCCTACATTGGAAATTAAATGAAATAAACAATAAGAAATACATGTGTTAATTATTCAATCAGTGCATTAACCCTTCCATTTGCCCACACATTCTCCCACACAACATCTAGTGGTTTTCTTAGTTAAGTCTAAACACATACCCAATTTTGATAATGTAGAAAAAGCAATAATTTTCTTTAAATCAAATTCTAATATAGCAGAAAATCCTGCTAATATTATAGTAATTAACCCAGTTACTGTAATATATTCTAATAAATAATTATTTTGATCCATTAAATAATGAAAACGAATCAATAAATAAATCTCAGCAGTTACTAAAGTAAAATAATGAACTAAAGAAGAAACTGGTGTAGGTGCTGCTATAGCTGCAGGTAATCAAGAAGAAAAAGGAATTCGAGCTCTTTCAATAAATTAAGAAATTATAACTAATTATAAAATTATTCAATTGACATTATTATAATTTATAAAATTCCATCCACCTCACGTAAATATCAAACTATTTGATATTATAATTATTACACCCACCACTCAATTTATCAGAATATTCATAAATATTCCTAAATTTTTACAATTACAAAAAAATTTAGTCCTTTCGTACAAAACAATTTTAATTTTTTAAATATAGAATCCAAACTGACTTACACTGTTTTAAACTCAAATGATGTAAGTTAAAAGTTGAACAGAATTAATTTAATTAACCTTTGTATTAACTCTTTAACTTAATTCAACGTAGAGGTCGCAAACTTTTTTATCAATATCCTCTCCAAAAAATTAGGCTGTTATCCCTAATGTAATTTTATTTAATTTCATTATTAATTGATTTTAATAAAATACTTCATAAATTTATGAATAAATCTGAATATATATATTTAAAAAAATTAAAATGATTAGTAATTAACAAATTATATATATATATATATATATATATTACTAATAATTATATGCCTTTTAAAATTTTTAAATTATCCCCCACTAAATAATAAATTATATATTTAAAAATATATAAATTAATGATATAATATTAATTAATAAATTATATAGGGTCTTCTCGTCTTTTAAATACATTTAAGAATTTTTACTTAAAATAAGTCATACAGATTTGAACTTGTGAAAATCTTCATACCTTACTTCAATAAAAAGCCCATTGATTTTGCTACCTTTCTACAGTCAGAATACAGCAGCTATTTAATTAATTAATTGAGCAGATTAGATTAAAAATTATATCAATAAACCATGTTCTTACTAAACAGGCGAATAAAATGTTTGCCTAATTCTTTAACTTAATCTTTCAAAATGTTCGATTTTAAAGGTGTAGGCTATGGCTCGAACTACCAATTCAATAGGCTTGCTGGCAAGTGGAAGGGGCAATGCAATTATACAATACTGCCTTTAATGTTAATAGTCTTTCCTTTTATTAAATATAATAAATGATGAATAGTTAATAATCTATGAATATTAGAATGAGTATGTGATAGAATGAATATATTGGTGTTTCTTTAGCCTGGAGCGTGATTCCCTTTCTTCCTTTGGGTTGAGTAGTTGTAGTGGGGAACTCGTGGTGGTAGGGGCAGCAAGTTAGTGCCGTCTTGGCAGCCGACGAGGGATGAGCTGTAGTTTATGAAGTGGTGGGAGAACGTCCATGTGACGTCACAGCTTGTGTCCGTGAGCTCAAATGTAGTGGTAATATTGGTGCACGTTCGTGTGCTCAATGCGAGCGTACCCACGGTGTAGAGGTAAAGGTAAGAACTAGCGTCGGCGTTACCTACATGCGGGCGTAAACCTTAGAGTCTATGGATATTACTGTGGATCTTGTAATTGAGGTAAAGCTAATGTTGTAAACATCAGCAGGTGTAGTCAATAATGCTCATGAGGTAGCATGAGAAGATGGTGTTTGAATCAAATATGATTGATGTATGAATAATACTTGATATGGTGTAAGATGTTTAATGGAACTTCTTGAGTAATAAATTATGTTTTAATTATTTATGGGGACAGTAAAAAGACTAGTCGCACACAAGAGTAATTAATGATAAGTCTTCGTGCTCTTGAAGGACTTAATAAAATGCATTTGTAGTTGATTATTCAATATATTGTTGTCTAGTTTTTACAATGTGCTTGACGAATTTCGTCGCTTAAGTCGACTCTTATGGGCCTGTACGGGGTCAATGCGTTGGTCGAGAGAGAGAGAGAGAGAGACCGTAAGTTTGCCCGCTCTATTGATGTGGGCCTGTACGGGGTCAAAGCGTTGATTCTTGTATTGCTGATTAAGTAGCTCCCATGCTGGTGATAGTGATTCGTTGGTTAGTGGGAGCCCCTTTATTAATGGCAAGGTTCACTCGTCCAATGAGGTGCAGAGGTAATGTAACTTTTCCACCTCAGTGATGTCTTTATTGTTTAGGATGAGTGCAGTGAAGAGTTCTAGCTCTCCTTGATTTAGTGTCTTTGTGTATCTTGGTGCTCTTGACATCCATTATGACCCCCTTTGTGTATTATTTATTAGTTATGAACTGAAGGAGAGGGAGTCGCGGATCTCCCGTATGAGATTGAACGGTTAGTGTTTCGTAAGATAATACTACGTGTTATGTTAATGTGCTGTTTTCCTCTCTTCAATATAAATTAGTATGTAAATCGATAAGAGAGTGAAGATTGTTTGTCATATTTATATTAAAGCTCTATATCTGGCAGATCTGATATTTGCAGATCGCCGCTGTGCGTGACGAGTGGTATACCTGATGTTTGCAGGTCCGGCTTGATTCCTTGAATCTGCTATCTGGCGAGGACCAAATGTTCAAATTTTAATGTATTATTTTATGGCTCGAACTGCCATTTCAATAGTTCAGTGGATTAATCTCACGCCATAGCGATTAGGAAGAAAGAAGGCACAAATGGAAGTATTAATTTATTCTGTTTATGAATTATAATATTGTAGCGTTGTTGGTTGCTTCTATTGAGATAGAGAATTATTCTATTGTAGTGGTGTGAGTTCTTTCTTGTTCTTGATTGTCTGAGATTTTAATTGCAGTTCGTGCTAGCGCAAGTGACAATGATGGGAGATGCACTACTTAATAATAATACTAAGTATAGAATTACAATAAGCACTAAACTGAATTTATCTTAGAAAAATGCTGTGAGCCATATGTGTAGTGATTGACTAGATCTTAAACTTACAGTGCACAGCGCGTCAAGGGCTGCTCTTAAATATTCACATAGAAGCTTGCGATACCGGCAGCGCACCGGTGCCTGTTGCTATGCCGATCCTTATGGTGACGACACTAAGATATAGCCTTGGAGAGTTCATCGGCATTGCTAGTCGAAATTAGAATCTAATATTCTAGTATTCTGCGTAGTGAAATTTCTCTTATTCGCTGAGTTGTGTTTATAACGTAAATGTCCAAGTATTTATACTTTTCCCACTTTTGTATTCCGCCTTCAACTGCTTCAATTCCGAACAGTAACAAAAATATTTTATTTAAAGTAAATTTTAGAAGGAAATCAGAGAATATCTTTAGATTATGAGTCCGATAATTTAAATTAATCTATCTTTAATTGAAAAAATTAAATTTACAATTAAATATTGTTTTAATATTTTTTCTGTTCATTGTTTTTCTATTACACTTATTCGGACCTTCATTTTATTCGTTTTTTGTTTTAATAGAACTACTACTTACGTTTTTTATTTCTTTATTTAAAATTTGCTTTTTTGTACAATTTTGTTAGTTCATACTTTTTAACAATTATTTTTAATAAATCTTATTGATGTTTTTATTTGCATTATTTGAAATGAAATATGTGAAATTTGTTTACGTAATCAGAATTTTTAAGAAATTATGTGCATGACTAAAATTTTTATTTTTATAATACAAAATTTGAGCATTTCTACATGATTTTGTCAGCAAATTTTATATAATTTAATTTTTTTTCTTAATATTCTTCGAGAATATAATTGAAGTTTTATATCAAAGTATTGTCACTAAAAAATTCTATCTTTCTTTTAAACTTATCTTTTATAGGTAAAGTATCACTATAATTTGATCGATTGATAAACTGGCTTAGTATTTTGAATCGAAATAAATATTTATTAATTAAAACATCTTTTGAGTTTTATTTAAGATTTAAGATTATACTCTCTACTATAAAATTACACGTTATAAAGCTATTTATTTTCTACTAGTATTCTTGAGAAATCTTTATTTAGTGAGCTACTATTAAGAAATATTTGTCTATTACTGTGGTAGTATTTTTAAAATGTTCTTGTCCAGAACATCATTGATTCTGTATAGATACTAGTAAAACTAAACTAAAATCTGATACATTAATAATCTTTTATTTTTCTTTTATTAAAATTTACAATTATAAAATTTTGAGATTTGCCTTCAATATACATTGTCCTATATAAAGTCTATTATATATTATATATATGACGATTGAATAAAAGAATATTTCATAGATTTAAATGATTTATTAAATTTAACAAATTTAAATGAAACGGTATCATTTGCTTATTTAGTACCTAATATATTTTTTACAATATTTATTTAGAGTTATTCGAAATATGCTTCGACTTATTGGAATAAAAGTTATTAAGTTTATATAGACATCAATTTTTAAGGTTATAATTATTTGCTAAATTATGCTCATTGAACAATTAGATTATAAAAATGTACTTACACTTATCCCAATACTTAGAACAGAATTTGGATAATCCAAAGTGTTTACTATTTTATATGATCCAGAATCATAAATTTTAACATGTTTGTCCAATGATCCAGATAGTATTCTTTGACCGTTAAATGCTATTTGTAAGCATGTGATCGTTTTATGATGTTGAGAAATCTTTGCTAAAAGTTTACCACTAGCCAAGCAATCCCACACTCTAATTTCTGTTCCACCTAAAGCAAATTTAGAAGTAATTCTATCGTTTAATAGTTTTTAATTAAATTTTTTAATTTAAATCTATTAAAAAATATATACTTAAAGCAATTAACTTATTAAATTGAATATAATGATTGTATTTGATAAATTAGTTACTGAGTATATTTACATTTTAATAATTAATTTGATAAATTCATATATAATATAAGCTGTATATTTATTCTACTAAGTTAAATATTGGATGAGGTTCGAGATAAGGAAAGCAATAAGATTATAATTAATAAATAAGATTTAAATATAATAAATAATATTTTGGCTGTGCTTAAAGTTCGATAGATTCGAATAATGCATTTATAACAAAGTCTTATAACTTTGTTTTAAGTTCTCTGTCTTACGTTGTCTGCTTTTATTTATATGTTTTATGTATTAATAGTTTCTATAGAATTACTAAACGATTAATAGTTCTTATTCTTTTAATTGACTTTTGAATTTGAGGATACTGTTTCAAATGCTATTTCAACTATTGATTTCACTTTTATACATGTCTATAAAAAATTGTTACTATTCTTGCTAATTTTTACTATATAATTTGGGATGATATTTATGTGTTAATAATTATATATATATCCATATAAAATACTCAAATTATTATTTAAAAATACCTTGTACATTTTCAACTATTTAAATGTAATTTTTGCAATTATTCAATCGTATAAAATAAAGAATCACGATAATTTACAATATATTAATTTTTAAACATTTAAATTTAAAAATAAGAATTGAATAAGATTCTATATATTGTAAATTTTGAATTTACAAAAGAATATCATAGCAAGGAGATTAATAAAATGTTGTTTCTTATTATTTTTTTATTATAATAAAAATATTCCAGTCTTATGCTATTGCTAAATATTCTATGATTCATTTTTAAGAGTGATCGATATTTTCAATATTGATTTATTTCAGAAAAATCAAAATAATAAATAATAGACATCTATAAAGATATTCCTTCTATCTGATGAATAAACATAAATAGAAATAAATAATGATAAAAATATGAAAGTAAAAAAATATTTAACTGGTACTTACCTATTAATAAAAAATCATTTAAATTAAATTGATTTTCCTTAGTAAATAATACTTAATTTAATTATATTTTAATAAGTCAAAAGTAAAATTACAAAACTACTTTAATAAATAATAAACTTAGAATTAGTATCACAGAAAATCAATCACCTACTGAATATACATATTATTGCTTTAAACAAATTGGTTGTTGGTTTATTTTATTGTATTTTATTTTACATATTACCTTATTTGTATATGTATTAATACTTCTGATTGTTTATGATTTTTTATTTTCCATCTTTTGTCTTCTGTTTGTTATTTTTTTTTGTTATTTTCATGCTTTAGAATACTTAATATCACTTCTTCACAGATATATTTATATACAATATTATAGTTTTTTTTTTTTGTATTTTTCATTACACTTTTTCTATAACTACAAGTATTAGTAACAGAAATTAATTTCTTTATCATTTCTACGAAATTGCATTTGAAGTTTAATTTAATTTTTTCATTTTTATACTTTTCTCTTTCTCTTTATACGAGATGCTCGACAAATTTTTACATCATACGTTTTACGTCAACATGGCCATACCTCAATATAATTTATAGTTTCAATACTAATTAAACATTTTGGTTCTCATTTTTAAATGTTATGCTATTAATTATTATTAAAATTAACCAACTAAATGAATAAGGCTATAAATATTTACAAGGTAATAAAATCTTATTTTGTAGATGTTTTAATATTATATATATGCTTAGTGATTTATTCAAATTTACTTTAATGTTTAATGTTTTATTAAGTTTACTTTAATTTTCATATTAATATAGTAATTGTAATTTAGTAAACATTTGTCTTGATTCCAGAATTGAAGTTATAAGAAGTACAATATAACTAATAGTTTATTCTTTATTTCTGTTTTAATTTTTATATTTTATCTTGAGTTTAATTCCCGGAATTCTCAAAACTTTTAAAGCTTTATTCTTGAATATCCTACAAGTTTGTCTAGTCTTCGCATAGCAACACAAATCCATTGTTATCGGCTAAGTAAGCTACAACGTGGATGGAGCGAGTCAGTCAATCATGCTCTCTCAGTGAAGCCATTACAAGGAACACACGTTCAATTCTCTAGTGCGCAACAGAAGATGAGCAGTCAAGGGTGCTGACTGTATTACAAGAAGCATGGTATCGCAGTACTCCTTATCACAAAGATATACTAGTAGTCTCTATTGAGGGTAACTATTACATAATTCAGCCATATTTCTTTCCAAGGAGTGTGCACAACTCTTTGCTATATTATTTTAACATTATCAAAGGCCACGTACCTCTCAAAGCCATACTCCTCACCATGGAGTGTGCATAATACATTGCTGATCCTTACAAGATCAGAAACAACATCGCCATTATCACCAAGTAGTAACTACATCACTGTAATTGAATATAGTTTACACTCTCCTGAGAAATGAATTCAACTCATCAATAATGTAATTGTCAAGAAACCATAATAAACGATGTTTAACGAAGTGTGCACACACTGTACATATGTACAGCCCTTGCATTTAAGTCCTTACCTAAGCATCCACTAAGACGGGTGACAAATTATACAAACTATGAAACATTTTTTAACAAGTATTAAAAATTTTTATTATAATTTTATAAATCTAACATAATATAATTGTATTATAAATTCTTGTACTTTTTATATTCTTTCTTTATTATTCATATATAATTTAAATGTTATAGCAAAAATAAAGTATAATCATAAAGCGATGAAACACAAGTATTTTTTTAAAAATAATTTTTATTAATAAATGTTGATAAAAATTATTATAGTAAAGTCAATCAAGTATTAACTAAATTTCTTGGTGTTTCAAAAATTTATGCTAATTTTATTAAACAAACATTTTTTGGTATTAAAATATATAACTAATTGTCATTTATTTTCAACATATTTAATTATTCAGAATTACTACAATAAATAATTGCTTGATTAAAAAATTGTTTAATTCTGGTTTTAATCATTTGATGTAAATTAAAAGAGTTACATTTTTTATTTCTAAATTTTAATATATTGCATGCTTAATTTCTATTAATAAAATGATTAGAAAAATAAAAATACCTGCTGATAAAAATACTCCTCCACTTGGTAGAAACAAAACACTCTCAACCGGTGCATCATGATTGATACTAAGAATTTTTTTATTAGTTCTTGTATCATACATATTTACTATTTTATCATAACCCCCTGATATATAAATATCAGGAGATACTGGACTAATACTCCCAGCTCTAATATAATCATTGTGTTCTTCAAAAGCAATTATTTTCTTTTCATTAGGAATATCCCACAACGCAGTGGTTTTATCATCTGAAAATGAAACAATATGAATGCCATCTAAAGTGAAAAATGTTCTATGAACTGATCTACTATGTCCACAGAATATTCTTAATGGACTTCTTGTATTAACATCAAAAAGTTTTATAATAGCTTCATCTCCACCAGCACAAAGTAATCGTCCATCTCGACGAAAAGATCCTCCATAAGCGACTTCTTTAAATTTATTAAGATTTCTAGTTATTAATTTTGTTATAGGATTATAAATTTGAATTCTACAGGAACATGTAGCTGCAAAATGATATGGTTCTTTGGGTGAAAAATCTATGTAATCAATTGGTCCAAATTCTTTAACAAGGACAGATACCTATAAATTTTCTTTTTTAATATTAATTTTAATATAATAATGTATTGATATTAATCAAGAATTAATATAATGTGTTATAAAATGTATTAATTTACAATATATCTAGTGTATACATTTTCTGATTTAAAATCAATGAAAAAATAATTATACTGACTTTAAATGGTATTTCTTTTTAAACGAGAAATATTTAATTAAAAAAAATTAAATCAATATTCCTAATGAATATAATAACGATATGTTTATTTTATATGCCAATTACAAATGTATGAATATATTAAATATTCAAATTATAAACAGTGGTTAAAATATTAATTCTAGGTTATATCAATCACATGTTTTAAAAATAGCATTTATTCTAAAGCTTGAAATATAATTATACTCACATTATAATTTTTCCAATAAATACTATCAGACGTTAAATCTGAACAAGTTTTCATGAATATTTTTGTATTTGTTTTTTTAAAAGATGCCATTTTATGAAATTATTTGTTAATTGTCGATAAATAAAATTAAATATTGAAGTCTGTTCCTTAGACAATGTTTCTATAAAAATGGTTAATGATTTGATATTTACCTCGAAATATTGAAACTTTGTCAATACAAAATGCACATCTTGTATAAAACATTTGAAATTGCATATTATTATTAATGAACGTTTAGTTAAAATTTTAATCTATTATATTAGATAGATGTTAAAAAAAGTTTGCTAGATTAGTTTAAAGATGTAAATTCAGATTATTTCGAATCTAGCGGATATCTCAAGAAACTAATTTTGTACCCGAGCAGTATAATTTTTGCTTTCAAATTTAAACAAATTACTGTTATTTTTATAATTAAAATATAATAATCTATGAATATGCAATAAAAAACTATTCTTATTAAATAAATTGAAATTTTATTTTATAAGGTGTTTAAATTTAATTAATATATTTCTATTAACTAAAAATATATTGTCTAGAGTTTCTGATCAACTGTTTATGTAATGTTAAATATAGTTTAATATTTTTCCTTTATTACTTATTATTTAATTTTTTTAATTTTGATTTGTACTAAATATTCATGCAAATTTATAAGAATTATCATTTAAAATGCAATAAATAATCATGAAAATTAGTTATATTATTAATATGCCTTGACATCAAATATAGATCTTCAGTTTTAGTTTATACAGCTAAATTTTATTTACATTACTTACATATAGAATTATATTGAATTGAAATTCGACATAAGAAAAGATTTAATGTCTGATATTATGTTTATAAAAAGATTTTTATTTATAGTTTTCAATAATTATCATTGTTTTTTACACCAAATCTTATAACATAATTCAAATAATTTTTATAAATGCACATACTTTATATATACAAATTTTAGTTTAAATAACGATTGTTTTAGGTAAATAAATAAAAATATTTCAGTTTAATTTATAATTTTATTGATAATTAATTTATTAACAATTATAAAAATTTTGTATTATGTTAGAAATTTAAAAATGAATATACTTTATACTTTTGACATCAGCTTTTGTTCATAATAAATACATAATCTTCATTATTTAACTTTATATTAAAATTGTTTTTATTTAATAACTTTTGCTTGCAAATAGTTGAAATTTGTTAAATTATTCCTTTAATAAATTTAATGGTTCTATAATTTTTACTATTAATTATCTGATTGTATGATTTTAGTGTATATTATATTCTTATTATTTATCTTTGCAGATCCTGTCATTATTTTATATTATTTTACAAATTTAATTATGAAAAATGATTTTCTATGATCTACTATGAATTATATGATTGTTAAGAATATAAACTATTTTATTAATATTGCGCAAAATAAAAATACTTAGAAATAACAGAATTTCATATTAAATAGGAAATTGATTTCTTATTAGTTTATTCTTCATGCTGCTAATATTAACTAAAATAAATTTGATTAACTTTCTTAATTAGATGTAATAAATAATATAAAACTCAATTTCGTTTTCTTTTTCTTATTTGTACATCAATATTATATAAAACATTTGATTTTTAACAATTTAGTTAGTTTTTTTACTAGGCTACATCATATTTATTATATTCAGATTTAATATATTCTATTCGTCATATTTACTATAATACATATATATTCATTGAATAAATACTCCTAATATAGTAATCTGTTTATACATTTTATTATGTATTGTAATTTATAATTCTGTTGTTATTCTTATGTAAATTATTGTCTTGTAAGAAATTATGTTAATTTGAACTTTACATCAAATATGAAATATCTGTATATTTGATTTTTCATAAAATAAAAAATAATTTTGTGCTTTTTCAATGTAGACGTTTTCTAATTAATTAAGTACTTTTTGATCATGTATAAAAATTATACTCTATTTCAATTAAATTTTGTTACTGTAAAGATGAAAATATTTAAAATAACTATAATGTAATTATTAGTTTACTTCAAGTATATTTTTGTTATAAATGTAAATATTACATTTTAAAATGTTAATAATATATTTAGATAAAAGTAGATAATTTCATATTAAAACAATAGATGTTAGAGAAGTTATTTTTTATATTTCATTTTTCAATATTGAATGCATGAACTTTAGATAAAAGTATAAATTAATTGATCCTATTAAAGAATAATTGATATTTTTATATTATCCATGTATAATGAATGTAACAAAAATTTATATGCATGTACACTATATATTGCTATGGATTAAATATTTTTTTCTTTCATTAAAATTTAAAAACTTGTATCTTCTAATATAACTTGTTTTATTATTTTACCAATGTTTTTCTTTGTTGATAAATGAGTGTATAAAATTTATAATAATGTAAAATGTATATTGCATGGTAAATTTTTGTTGTTTTTTAATAAATGATAAAACTATGAATTATAATCTAATAAAAATTATAGAAATAGTAGATATTAATTTCATTAAAATTAATCATAATAGAAAAATAAAAATAATGATAAATAATTGTTTAGAAAATAAAGATTTATTTACATACATAATAAAAGGTACTTTACTATTTAATACAATCTTTAATAATTATAAGAAAAACTGTTGTAAATAAGTTGATAATCAAGATTATTTTTATAATTCATATTGGGAGAAGTTATAAAAATTGTTTGTTGTAATTTTATTATATTAATTATATTAATCATATAAGATCTACTTGAACAATGTAATTGTTATTAATAGAAATGAAAATTGTCTGTTTTCATATACAACAATTATCCAATCCCTTATCCCTTCCATTTGCCCGCACATTTCTTCCACATAACACCTCGTGGTCTTTTAGTTAATTCTAAACAAACTACATTCACTAAAGTTTTAGAAAACTCGTTTTGTTCTATTTCTCACAATTCTTTAATAAAATTAAGGCAACTACAGATAATTGACATTAAAATAAAACATAACTCATATGTATTTATTTTACAATTTATAATTGGAATAGAAAATATATATCAAATTGGTCTAAGAATTGTAGTATTATGTATAATCTCTTTTTCAAAAATTATTTCTGGTTCTCTTTCTGAATGATGTTTTGTTATTTTATAGTCCCTGGGACTTAAGCTTCAAAAAGATAAAAGAATAACTTTTTATATGAGGTCAAAGATAGCCTTCAATTTAATTACCTTAGTATTAAATCAAATCTTTACAGATGTTCTCAATATTTCGAATTTTTGACGTCAGTTATTCTTAGCAGACTTTTTATTGTTGAAATACTACTTCACTTTCCATTTGGTTATAGTTAATATTAAGCTGCTTCTTTCAATTTTTTCGTTATCGCATTCTTTGCACCTAGTTGAATACTGATTGTTAAATAATTGTAATATATTATTTCTTTAATTTACTTTATCATTGAACTTATAGTACCTCTTTAAATTCAATGTAATATTTTAATTGGTGGAAAAATCAAGTTGGCACTTTTCTATGAAGTTATACATCGATTAACAAATGATATTAGTATTTCCTTTTATCTAAAGTACTTTCTCCTTATCTAAAACCATTGTACCTTCAATTAACATTTTAGAATAACTTACACCTTTCGACCTAATAGTACTTCCACCTTCGAAATATTCAATATTTCATTTCTAATATATTTATTAATATTGATAGATTAATATTGATATATAGTACTTACAATTACTTTTATTTGTTTATCTAATTCATATTTAAATTAATATTTTGTGTGAAGCTTTTTTTAAAATTAATATACATAATTTTTGTATGTCTTAATTTATTATAAATATTTGAATACAATTCGATTAAGATATCGTCTACAAATTGATTAATGGCAAATTATTTTATCCACTAAATTATGCTAATTGGGGCTGCCGATTTTTAATTCAAATATTTGAGGATTTTTTAAATTTATGAAGCTGATCAAAGCATTATCATAAATATAACACGTTTTTGACTATTTCTTTTTTAGATAAATAGAAATATCTTATACTAGACTGTCAAATATCGTTTAAAGTTGTTCAAATTCTTTTGAATATCAAAGACAATTTACTTATTAATATAACTATGATCGAATACAAAGTCACAATATATTAAAAATTACAACACATCGGTTATAAATTGCATTTATTCAAATTATTCAATCGCGATATATAATTATTAATATAGATTTGATTAGTTGAATTATTATTAGTCAATTAGTAGGCAAATGTAATAATTTTTACTTACTTTTGACAGATGGTTTATTATAAAATAAAATAATGAGCATCTATAAATAGATAATAATTTTCCCTTATATAAAAATTTAATATACCTACTATATATATTATATAATTCACTAATACATATTAGTTTCATAATCCTAAGTTAATTAATTTTTGATAGCACCAACATATTTTATTTATCAATATTGTATTTCTATGTAAATTAACTATAATGTAAATGAACCTTATTCATCCTTATGTATAACTTAAAAAATATTTGTAATATTTAGTCAAATTTTTATATTTTCAATACATATCATTAATTTAGTTTTATAAAAAAATATGTATGCTCAAACCTTTATGTTACTTGATTAATTTAGCTAAGGAGATCATATAAAAACGAACGCGTCAAATGATATATAAAAATTCCTTGACAAAAAAATAATAGGAAAAAACATATATTCTATTAATTTAAATCATATTAATTATTTATTTATATTATTTCACTATTTCATATAATAATACGAATGCAATTAAAAATAAAATGAAATATAGTTTTGTATACTAGAAAGATATTATGTGACGATAAATCTAAGATTGTCTTTTAAATAGATATCATATATGTTTCGAATGACACAATAGATAAAGATTCAATAATACTGTTTTATTTATAGAAGTTAATCATAATATTAATTATAATACGATATTATCCGCAAATGAAAGATTTCATAAATTATGTTTTTGTACAATTATAATGCACCAACAAATTATAATAAAAATTATAAGCTATTTACTATAATTGAAGGAAGTTCGAGTTAATGTAGTCTGTAATACTAGCCAGAAAATAAGTATGCGATTCAATATATACAGTAAAATCTAATAGCTTTTAAGATAATATCTTTAAATATAAGAAACACAATGTAAGCTTTACACATTTATTACATACATCAGAAAATATAGTAAATTTTTTCAGCATTGAAAATTAATTTTATGATAAATTATTAATAAATAATTATTGAAATTAACCATTTATTAAAAAAAAATTTTTAGATACTCAATTTTGAGCTATAATAAATATATAATAGTAATTCAAATTAAGAATATATACAAGTTAGTAGTTCGAGAAGGATAAATTTTTTAAACAAAAATGATAAGTTCACTCATTTTATATATAAAAATACATTATTTAATCATTTATATATTTATATTCTATTATCCTTTCCGTTTAATACAAAATCAAATGGAATAATTATTGATGAACTTATTAACAATACTGTAATAGTACCATAAAATAATAGCCTTGCAAATATATTTTATTACCATTTAATTAAAATAAAATTAAAAAAAAATATTTTTAATTACTTATATTAAATATTAATAAATTAATCTAAATAATTGTATTCTTTATCTTATAAACATAACGCTACACTTTAATAAATAAGAATTCTCATTAAATTTTATTCTTTTAGATTGAAATTTAGGATTTGTATTACTATCTTTATATTGTAATATGATATTTAAAAAGATTCTATTATTTTCATTTTTAAAGAATAATTTTCTATTAAATATATTAGTTTTTTGATTGTAGTTAATATTTTTGTATTTTATTTTTATTTTAGTGCACATAAATGTTTACGGCGTGACTGCCTAAAATATTTTAGTTTCCAAATTAAAGAATTTGTAATTACTGCATTTAAAATGATATTTTATTCTACCTATACTTGTTCATTTTTTATGGAAGATTTATATTTATCAAATTTTTTAATAAATAATTTTTTATTGCATTTTAATCTAATTTTGCGTATTATTTATCCCATTAACAATAATTAGTCAAATAGAATGTTGTGTAAATGATACTAATTACAAAATATTCATTTATAGTCAAATGCATACTTTATATATTAGTTAATATATTTTAATAGCAAATGTATCGAAATTTATTATAATTAAAAAATTACAAATAATATTTATGGAAATGAAAACTAATTAAACAAATTTTATTAATTGTCATTGAAATAAAAATATTTTTTCTATTATTATATTTTTACAATTTATTAATTGTTATTTTATAATATACCTTGCTCGTCAACTTTTAAAAATTAATTTTGTCTTAAAAAATAAAGTACCGTTATTTTTAATTCGGTAATTCCGGGATTATACATGATTTATATATCTGCATTGATAGCTTTTAATTCTTATGCTGTATTTTTATATTAATTTATGTGAATCTTTAACTCGCATGCGCCAGAATGGTGTTTCATATCATATGGCTGCGTTAGTCATTGTCAGTATTGTTGTACATTGAAAATTAAACTATTTTCAATATTGATATAAAATAAATTAATTTTGGAAGTGATAAAACTAAGAAGTAAATGCAACAAATATTTATAATAACTTGCAATTTTAATTGTTGCTCATGATAAAAACTGACGTACATTTAATGTATTAGTTCTTTTTTTTATAATGATATTTGAATTTTTTAAAAAATTATTTTGGAAAGCAGATGAAAGTAGCAGAAAAAGAAAGGCTAGTGATTCGTTTTTCCATGTAGAAGATAATATACATTCAAAAAAATATTGTCATGATTTTGTCTCATGCAATCATGTGAAAATTATTAGTGAAGCCAATGACAGTTCTAATATAGAATGTATTAAAATGAATTCAAATTGTTATTCTCATCCAATACTGAATTCTAAACAGTTTGATAATGATAATGAAAATGGTTCAAAAAAAATAAAATCATTACAATCTACAATAAAAACTAATCATGAAAATAATAAATGTTTATCAAAAAAAAACTACATATCTTTACAGCAGTCTGAATCTATAAATCAACTTACTTTATTTAAAACACATAGATTAGTTGAAAAAAAACAATATAGTGAAATGTTAATGAATTTTATTCCACCTGAAGTGCAAAAAATTAATAAGGATTCAAGTATAAATAGGAATCAACAGCATTTAATAAAAATAATAAATTTAAATGAAAACAAAAATACAAAAGTAAGATCATCGGTTAATTTTGAATCTAATACATCAATGGAAGTAAGTAAAATGGATTCTTGTAAATCATGGTTTTATTTGAATAAATCTAATCCATTCAGAATAGGCTATCAAAAATCTGTTACAAATTTTAATTTGGTAAAAGAAGATGAAAAAAAAGATATTTACATAAATTCTGCTATTAGTTATAAGCCAATAGAAATTATTAAAACAAATACATTACGAGAGAAATTTTCAAATAAAGAAGTTATAAAACAAGATTTTATTTCTCAAATTACAAATAGGTATAATAAACGTATGGAAGAATGTTATAAAGAAGCAGAAGAATTAAGGAAAAAAACTTTTATTTTAAATAAACATAATCAATTGACAAGGGAAGCAGCTCTTGCTGATCAATTAAATCGTTCAATGCGTTTTTATAAAGCTGTACTTAATGAAAATGATAAATTAGAAGAAACAAAATTACCTGAATTAAATATAGATATGTTACAACGTATTAAATTTGCATTATCGGCCGGTCCATCTGATGAAATTCTTATACAAGGATTTGGTTTGCAAATTACAAGAAAAGATATACAAACATTAGCTGGTTTAAACTGGTTGAATGATGAAATAATTAATTTTTATATGAATCTTTTAATAATAAGAGGTAACTGTGACAAGTATCCAAGTGTTTATGCTATGAATACTTTCTTCTATCCAAAACTTTGTACTAGTGGTCATGGATGTTTAAAGAGATGGACAAGAAAAGTAGATATATTTTCAAAAGATTTAATAGTTGTTCCTATTCATCTTGGAGTGCATTGGTGTTTAGCTATAATAGATTTTAGAAATAAATCTATTAGGTATTATGATAGTATGGGTTCGCCAAATTATAAATGTTTACAAATATTAAAGCAATATTTATATGAAGAAAGTATTGACAAAAAGAAAAAAACTTTTGATTTTCTTGATTGGAATTTTGAATGTATAAAAGATATTCCTCAACAAATGAATGGTAGCGACTGTGGTGTATTTTCATGTATGTTTGCTGAATATGTATGTGCTAATAAAGATTTAAATTTTAGTCAAGAACAAATGCCTTATTTTCGGAATAAAATGGTTTTTGAAATACTCACATCACAAATATTATAAATACTTTTTGTTTTCATATTTTTAATACTAAATTAAGAGTTTTTGTATAAGTTAACCTAATAAATTGTTTTTTTTTTTAACAAAGCTGTAGCTATTAAATTAAATGTGTTTCATCCTTGTTACTTATTAAATGACATAATAAATATTAGGATACATTCAAATATGGATGACATATAATTTGTATAAAATTAACCATATTTTATTTAGTTAATTTGAAATTTAATTATTAACTATATTTTATTGTCGAATTTGCAAGTAAAAATAATTCAAAATAATTAAAGTTTTTAAATATCACGCTAAAAATTTATGCTCATTTATTGAGTGCATTACATGAAGATATTTAAAAAAAAATTTTTATATGAATCAGATAATATATATACTTGATTTTATTTCGAAATAAATGTTTTAAAAAGTTAAAATTTTTGATTATATATATTTAATAAATAATTAACACAAATACAAATACAAAATTGTAGTATAGGTTTTCATATAAAACCAACCATTGAATTTAGAACAAGTTTTTTAATTTAATATTTAATTAAATCAAGGATTATTGAAATCCTTATCTATGTTATCATAATCTTCATTAAATAATACTGATATAATTTATAAAGTTATCACTACTATTATACCATATAGAATTATTTATTTATTTATTAATTTATTAAGACCTATTTAGATTTATAAGGAAATTTTTCATCTGGTACTTATACTTCATACGCTGCCAAAGTAATATAACTTAAATTAATAATAGAATTGTATAGGAATAAAGGGTTAAAAAAAATATATTGACATTTACATCTTCCTTTCCTTTATTAGTTTTTTTTTATTGTGAATAAATCCAAATGATGATAGTGATAGACATAAATCCTCTTCTAAAATAAAAATTTGTTGAATATAGCAAGTTTATTAAAAAAACTTACACATGGAATATAAATTAAAAGCTATCAAAGGTTTGATTAAAAGATTAATTGTAATTTTTAAGTTTTTACATTTCTATAAAGAAGTATTTATGTAGAAAAAAAAGTTTAATTTACAATAAATTAAAAAAAAAGTAAATTTAATTAATAAAATATGTGAACAATCTTATAATTATAATATAATATCTTCAGAAAAAGTTCGATATTTTAATTCTTCCATTTATATAATTTTTTAATCTTAGTGAGCTCATCAAAATTTATTCTTGGAAACTTCATAGTCCTTTTATTAAAGCTAATTGTTTTTGTTATTTATATTTCTTGATTTAATTATAGTACGTACTGCAGTTCAAGATATAAAGTTCTAATGACGGTTATTACAATATTTGAATAATATATTAGTCTGAAAATCGATAGTATTATTTCATTTCATTCATTATTTTAATAATATGGCAGTTTCATAGTTATTAATTTAAAATTGAAACATATATGTAATTGCTTTAGAATTAGTATTAATTGTAATTTATACAGTCGTATTCACATTTATAACTCAACATTTGTTTTTAAAATAAATTAATAATGCGAGATTTTAGAATTTTAGAATCACTAAAATTATTATTTTTAAATTGATGCTTTTTGATGCTGTTCAAATGCTAATATTTTAATAAAATAAGTGTAATATTGATTATAATTAATTGTTACACAGAACATTATTCACTAGATACTGTTACTTCAACTCAATGTGATTATTTCAATTATTCCGAAATCTTACAATTTAGTAAAATGTTAATATACTATTGTGTTTAAATTAATTTAGGGATCAAAGTATGAAAATGAAAAGACATTAGAAACATTTATTTCAGATTAAGTTCAATTAAGTAAACTGAACTATTATTGCTAATTAAAAAAATTTTAATTTAATAAATCATATATACAAACAATTATAGACACTTTAAATGTATATTTGAACTTATTGAATATAAGTTTTTGAAATGTGACAATATTGAATATAAATGAAATTTTAATTTGTTTTTCTGGATGAAATTAGCACTTTTTAAAAATATTAATTTAATATGTTAGTTTTTATAACTTTATTAAAAGGAACATACATTTTTCTTTTTCTTTGTGTGAAGTATAGAAAATATTGTGAATATTTTTTTTCCTTGATGTTGAATGATGTTCTATAGAGTCCTAGTCTAGTAAAACAAGGTTTATTATTTGTAAATGATTATAATAATATTGCACTGTTGTGCAGAGAGAGAGATAATTCTATTGAAGTAACGAGGGTGTGTTCTTGTATTCTTGATTATTGTAGCTTCCATGGATATGACTGAGGATATGGATAAGTTGAGGTAATGCTGATGTTGTCAATATCAGCTGGTGTAGTCAATCAATCATGCATGTGAGGTAGCATGAGAAGATGGTAGTTGAATCAAGTATTCTTGACGTTCTAGAGAGCGTAAATGTGCCCTATTTTTGCTAGCGGGCATGTACGATGTCGAGGGTTAGTTCGAGAGAGCGTAAGTGTGCCTGATTTATTCTTGTGCAAAATGTGACTAGTTTATTTATTAATATAAAGGTGTACCTTGTGATCTGCAGGCAAGGTGTATTACTGCTGCGTCATTGATGTCCTCTTTGATTACTATTCCAATTGGCTTCACTGTAATCAGCACTAAATCTGCCGATTTTCCTTTATTAATGCACACAAGTATTATTAATTTTAATACTGAATATAAGGCCATGTGTTGTCTTCACAGTATACTGAAACACCGAGCGGCAATTACACTTGAGTGAGCGCGAAGTGAGATTACAATGAGCCTTTTGAATATGCGCACGAACCGAAGGCTTGATCATTCCGTGGCGGCTCTGCTGAAAATACCGGCCGTTCCATGGCGGTCCTGTTGAGGGCAGATCGAGACCCGTGTGCCATGGCTTCTACTGGTAGATGATTAAATCGGTTCGCTACGGTCGGTCACTGTGGTCGATTGACGGCAAGATGTTAGCCGCAAGCGCAGTTGGTCGAGGGTGGTTCAGTAAGAAAGCCGGTCAGCAATCAAGAAGCTTTCAGCAAAAGAGATTTTCAGCGAGAGGTCGAGGCGCGCCGCGTGCGTCCCTTATATAGCCATGCGGCGGCTCACTTAGCTGGCAACAAAGCATCGTCGTTGTTGCACTAATTCTTACACGAGGCGTAGAAAGAAAAATCTAGAACCTTCGAGAATGTTCGACGAAAGAAAAGTAGGCGTAATACCCTTGTGTGATCTTATAGTATATTTAGATTTCATGTCGTAAAACTTGCTCGGACTTTCCTAGTTTTGTTTGTAAACATTCACCCGAGTGCGCGTCCCGGTCCGATTCCGCGTGCCGTACGCTGCACAGCGCGTATGACCTACTTTTTCTAAAATTCATGGAACTGCATCAATCTCGAACTCTTTTAATATTTGCTAGTCAACTAATTATAAAATATTTTACATATTTTAAATAAAAACTACTCCATTAGTTATTGTTTGGAATTCCAGCTACCAGTATGATCGCAGATCACGGTGAGTGGATTAGACCGTATCTCCTATGTTGGTGTTATGATTGTGGTGACAATTGTTGAGTTCGTAGTGATTAGGCAGTTGACCATGAACTTTAGAACGTCGTCCGGGAGTGCAAGTCTAAAGGGTGAATTGAGAGTACTGGGCACGCGGTTTAGTCCCTAAATTTAATGGAGTCTCTCCGGTTCGAGAATCATTAGACAATTGATTCGGCAATGGTTTTTCAGAGAGCCATGTCGGGATTGCAACTTCTTTAATGACTAATTCGGCATTGAATTTTGTTGTTCGGGCTCGCGAATACTTTGACGTTTGATTCGGCGATAAAATTAGCGGCTAGTTGGTCGGCTCGCGACTGCCTAGTCGTTTGAATCGGCGCTAGAATTTACTGATCATTGTCCGGCTTGCGACTGCTTAGGCGTTTGAATCGATAGATTTTACTGAGCGTGATTTGGCTCGTGAGGGTAGTGGGGATTATTGCGGATTGTCGATGCCCTCCTTTGTGGTTTGATCAGATCCAAGTCGTAGAGGCTTGACCGATAATATCGTCGCTGTGCCGCAGTAATGAGAATTTGGCGGGGACCACCAGTCAGTATTGGCGCCCTCTTTAGCAGAATGATAAAAATCAAGTTGCAGAGGCCTAACCGATAGTGCAAGCGCAGGCAGCGAGAAATTATATGTAGTATTGAAGTAAAAAAAAATTAAATTGCTGGAGATGCCAGTCTATGTCGTCGCCCTCAATGCGGTCTGACTATTGTCACGATGCGGAGGACGCACCGATAGCTGGCCAGCAATATAGAGTAATCAATATAAACAAATGAGTATACCTTGCACGGATTCCCTTAGATGAGTTCAACTTTTACTGGTATGACTGACACTAATTTCACTTGAATTATTCAAACAGACTGATTTTCTTCTCCGTTCGATGCTCCTTAAGTATAATTGCTTACATTTAGCATTACAATTCTTGGCAGTTCTAGTGAATTCTCTGAAAGCAAGCTTTAGTACGTTCGAGAAGCTTCTTTTGTTGCTATGCGGACAAAGTAGGTGGCTTAAATTTCCAGCGAAATTTTCGTAATGTATAATTCAAATATTACGCCTTAAGCTAAATATATTGTATCGGAATCGTATTATAACAAACAATCCATTTTTTATTGTTCGGTAGTTTAATCCTGAACAGTTATAAATATAAAACTAGTAATTATTTAGTTCTTAAAATAAGAATATTTTTATTGTAACTATTTCCTTATTAAAAAAGTAGAATAATTTTTTCGTTTCATATGCATATACAGTTATTCAAATGAACACTAAAATTAGATACTACATATATATAAAGAAAAAAGTTATAAAAAAAGTAAATGAAAAAAAATTCGAAATGCATGCAAAGAAAAAAATATAATGACAGAAACCATGAATAGTTACTGTATAGAGAAAGAGAAAGATCATGCTTTTTTACGCTTGCATACACGTAGGTATTTTTTAAATGATGAGTTAGCTCCCATTTCCTGCAATAAAATTTTTCTTTTTCTCAAACTATGTTTTAATGAGTGGGATATAGGAACATATTGTTTTTGAGTAAATTTGAGAATTTTATAAATGATACATATTTTACTAATTATTATCAGCAAAATAGTGCTAATGGTTGGTATTGCTGTATTGCCCAAATATTGCCCACAATATTGCCCAAATATTGCTACAATGGTTTTATTAAATGTCTAAATCTGCATTTTTTCTTTTAGATATTCTTTCAATTCAGAATACCTTTTTAAAGACTATTTTAATCTAAAGCAATTTGAGTAAACAGAAAACTTTTACTCTATTTTGTAATAAAACATAAATATTAGAAATTTTTCGACTAAAATTCCTTGAAAAATATTATATATAAAGAATTGATTAAATTTACATTTAAATATATTTCAATAAAAAAACTGAAATTAAAAATTAAAAATTAAATTAAAACCAAGGTTTCTATTTATGTAGTTTTAAAATAATTAATTGTAAAACATAAAATACAAATAGAAAATTCTCGATGTATTTTAAAGCCTTATACCGTATTCGCATAGCGACAATGGAAGATTCTCGAACCTACTAAAGCTTGCTTTCCGAGAATTTGACTGAATTTCCAAGAATTACACACTCTAAATGTATGAAATCGTTATAAGGAGCAACAGCCGACGAAGCAAATCAGTATTACTGATTAAGTCAAAGTGAAGTAGTTCAAGTCATAACAGTTAAAGTTCTACACGTCTGTCTACGGGAATCCGTGCAAGGCGTACTCATTTGTTTATATTACTTATTATCTATTGCTGGACAGCTATCGGTGCGTTCTCCGCAACTTGACTCTAGTCAGACCGCATTGAGGGCGACGACATAGTCTGGTATCGTCAGCAATCCATTTATCATTATTGTTATTTCGTCATTGCGCCGACATTATTGGTTAGCCTTCTGCTGCTTTATTTTGATCTTTCAGACGGCGGAAGAGGGCGCAAAATCTCGGTATTGCGTTATCATTATCGGTTAGCCTTCTACTGCTTGATTCTGATTTTTCAGACGGCAGAAGAGGGCGCTGAATATATTCGATATTCCCCACAACACAAGTTGCTAATAGTACATACAGATCAGTCTTGCCTTTGCACACCCGGACGACGTTCTACAGTTATTGCGAACTGTTAAATTCTCGACAAGCTCAACAATTCTCACAACGACCGGTAACAACAACAACCTATGTAACATAACCTTAAATAAAAGTTACTACAACCAATTGTGTTTATGCTGAATTAATGCCTTTCCGCCATTAAACCGGTAGTACGGTCTAATCCAACCACCTTCGCCTTCTGACCATTCTGGTGGATCCAAACACTATACAATATTTAAAAATTCTAACATAAATTTGAGTTTAACAAACACTTTTTAATATATTTCTTTCTGTAATATAAAATAACAATAATGATCGGGAATATTTTATATAATTTAGAAAACTGTATTGAAATTTATTATTTATTTAAAATCATAGATATAATAATAATTTATCTTCAAACTTTTATATATAATGCTTGATGTAAACAAAAAATATGTTAAATTTGTTTAAATGAATAAATATATCAACTAAAATGTATTAGTTATATATGAATAAAATAATTCTATTTTTAAATTTAATTGTGGAATAATAAATAAAATCTTATACAAGTTTCTAAATGTACTGCATTTAAATCTGAAATGGTTTGTAACTTAAATTATTAAACGATTAAAATAAAGTGAAAATATTAACTTTTTTTAGATATAATAATAAATATACGAAAAATAAAAAATATATAAAACTGAGAATAATTAATTACGTATAAATTGAATTAAAACTTTAAATTGAACACGGCTTATATACATTAAAAATATTGAAGTTTTCAATATATAATATAATTTACCAAATTTGTATTATATGTTATAAAATTATAAAAAATAAGTAATAAGATCTTGTAGAAAACAAAAATAATTTTCACTAATAGGTATTGTTTAATTTAAAAAGTATATAGAAATAAGTTCAAATCTTGCCTAGAAATAATTATAGAAGAATAATTATAGAATATAATGTTTTACGGATATAAACACTTAAATGATTTAAAAACCATTTGAATGATATTTTTGTAAAATTAAAAAATACAATCATTTAAATTTTATGCATTATTTCGTTTCAAATATAATTACTTCAAATAATTCTACAATTAAATATTTATTTATATAGAGTACGCAAAATATTTTAATTTTTATATTTGTAAGAAAAATTTATGTATAACTTTACGAAAAAGATATATAATTGCTTTTCAATGTAATGTGTTATCACTTTTAACATTTATCATTTTACGTAACCGATAAGAAAATGAAGCTTGGCTATAGTATTCCAAATTGAGTTTCTTTGCAGAAAAATTACTTGTTTTCAGTTTACTTCATATAAAGTATATCAAGGTTCCTAATTTTGCAATATGTCTACAGATAATCTTACAGCTATTCTTTATGGAATCAATGATTTACGTCTAGTAAGTATCGCATTTTTAAAGGGTACTTTTAATAAGTATATATTATTAATCATATATAAAGTTGATATATTTCAAATAAAAAGAATATCTATATAAAATATAATTATTATTCTTATTATTTAAATTTATAAACTTTCTTTTTAAACATAATTTTATTTAATGAAATGAAATGAAAAAATATTAATCATGTAAAATGTTCTAATAATGATTTAAGTAAAATAGTATGCTTTATATTATCAATTGTTTTTTTATTGTTTATTATATGTGGTATGTTTAACCGTTTATTTGATTTAGTAGAAATTAACAGACTAAGTTTTTATCAATATTTTTAATATCTATCGAAACCAAATTTTTATTACAATGTAAAATATTAAAATTTAAATATATTTAAAAGCTAACTATTAAAAATTTTTCGTGTTTAATTAAATTATAAATTTTGAATATTAATTATTTGTCATGAAATTTTAAAGATCTATCAGAATTCATTTTTCCATTCAATAATTTATATACTTTTTCTTAATTTTTAGCTTAGTCTAGGATACAAAATTATTATAATATAAAATAATTTTATATAAATAATAATTACTTAAATTTTATTACTACTATAGTTAAAGATAGTTTTATAATTACGAACAAATATAAAGTATTATTTACATTTGATAATTTCCATTTAAGGTTTTCATACGTTATTTCTCAATGTCGTTGATTATAAATCGGTTACAGTATTTGTAATTTGTATATGATTTATTTTTAATTTTTTCTTTTTCATTAAATATTCATTTTTTATATTTTGTCTTCTTTTTTAGTTATTCACGTTGAATGTTTGTTCTTGTTTTCTATTTTTACATTGATGGATAGTTTTATCGCTTAAACTACACTATGATAACGATTGTTGATCCAATATTGTTTATTCAGATAATTTCAAGACAATATTGAGCATTCGCTGATATATTATAATTTTTAATTAAAATAGTTTATATTTTAAGTTGTTTTAGAAGCGTTTTTAAAAAATTCATCAGAATATTGGAGTTACATGGATAATATTATCGATAATCCTTCGGAATCTTTTCACATATTCAATTTATAATTTTTTGCATTTGCATTTATGTAAAAATATTTTTACGATTTGATATTTTTTATTTCTATAATTATATTTAAAAATGTTCTTATTATTATCGTATATTTATATTAAATAACTACATAATTATATATTATTTCATATATTGCGATTATAATATATATTTTGAAATAATTTTAGCTCTAAATATGAAGGTTGTTTGGAGTCGATACTGTATAATTTAATTAATTGTTTTTATTATTTCGTATACACTAACACAAAGAGACTCATATTTATTAATATGAATATTAAACGCTTTATTTTTTCTATATTTCTTGAATACAATCAAATTTGAAATAACGGCAGCATAAGCGTAATAAATGGTAGAGACTAATGAAAAGTAAGAAGATACGAGAAAAATAGGATTCAGTAATAAATTTGTATAAATAATATTAACACGTGATTGATCTCTGGTATCTTTCATTTTTCTCGTTTAGAGTTACGTATTTACATGCATTAACGCTCGTATAAGAAAATTTTGAGTTTCATAAAATTATACAGTTAAAAATAAAAAGAAGATTAAATTATACCCAAATTTATAATCGAATATTTTTAAGACCATAGTTACTAATATTCGGATATAATAATCCATTTTAAATTTATATTTATTATTATAATAATGTTTGTTTTATTCGTAATTATTGCTTACTTTTCATAATATGATTTTATATATTTGATTCGATTAAAATAATATATAATATCATTATACATGTATTAATGTTTGGAATTTAATACACTAAAATTTTTCTTTAAAGAACAACAAAAAAAATACATCATTTATAATATAATGTATCAATTATATGTACGATTTAATGCAAAACTATTTTTTAATATATTCATTCATTATTTCAAAGTTTGTATTATTATAATTTCTAATATTTTGATTCTATGTTGTACACTGATTATTTATAAAAAAACTTATATATATTTTAATATAATTTTTATTTATTATTTTATTATTTTTTATTTCACATTAATTTAATTTAGTCAGTTATTTTATAAGTAGATATTCTGTCTATAAAGTTTCTTTACTTATCAATTCCAAATATATATAATTTTGAATATGAAACTCTTATATCTTGTATTTACTTGTGCTTTTATAAGGATCCGTGCTTCAGATCGGAGTAAAATTAGTTTTTATCTTTACAATTTAACGTTATTTAAAGTTAATTTAAAAGTAGGCTTTTATAATGTATAAAAAATCATGAAATATCAAAACATCAAACACAACAGTAGATATTATCTATTAATAGATATATCTATTTTATTATTTTTCCCGGAATTATTTGATATATATTTTTTAAGCTTTAATGATGGCCTATTTTGACCCTTTACAAAATTGAAAATATTAAAATATCTTTCATTATTAATGCTTTATAACTAATTTTTTTTTTAATTTTGATATGAACATTTGTTTTAATTTTTTTAGCTTAAATTTTTATAATTTGTAAGTGTTAAAAAAATGAGATTATGTTTTATGTATAAATATTATATGAATGTTTTATATGTTTTTTTCATTAGTTTTAATATGCTCGTGTAATATTCAATAATTACTTTCATAACTAATGAATCGTATTAGAAAAGTGATATGTAGAATGCAAGTATGCATTTGTGAACATCTTGTTTTTTATTTGGATTCTTTATTTTTTGTTTTTATTTTCACCAGGTGTATTTTCTATACATCTGTGCGATAGTTGATATGTTATTTCTATCGTACAAAAAGGATATTTTTAATAATGAAATATTTGAATAAATGAATTAGATTTTGTCTTTTATGTTTTTATTTTTTAGATTATAAATTTATTTACATACTATGATGAAAATTTGTAATACAAAAACAAAACAATTGATTTATAAATATATATGAGTGTGTGTTATGACATTTAAAATAAAATTTATAAATAAATTAATATTTTTTTAAATAAACTATATATGTTATTTATGTTTATATTTTTAGGAACAAACTGAAATAGAGGAGCCGAATGAAAGTGGTAAGTACTATATTGTAGTATTATTTTGATTTGTTCGTTAATTTTCGACTATTTTTCAATAAAGACAGAGAGAGAGAGAATATATTGTGATGGCATGATACGATTAGATTCCTTTATCCATTTACATATTAATATATGGATTTACATATGTTTATTTGCAACAGCAATTGAACAACTTTTTACAGTTTAAAAAATGTAGGCATTTGTGGACAAATACTTTATATATATTTTTCCATATATTATGCATTGGGTTCTCCTTTAGCTTTCTTTGTCATTTATTTGTGTTATATATTTTCTTGTTAAATTTATATATTTTATACTTATTTTTAATTTTTTTCTTTTATTAGTGAAAAAGAGAAATGTTTTAATTTATATTTTGCTGATCGAATGGCGATTTTAATATTATGATAAATCGAATAAAGAATAAAAAACAGAAAGAAATGCAAACAAATTTATAATATCTTTGAAATTATATTTTTAAATATTTAATGTAATTCTAAATTCATAGTATAAATTCATTTTGACGCATGGATCATTGCAAAATAAAATATTAACTATTATACTAGATGCTTAGTTATTATTTCTAATCTCGTTTATATTTACAAATTAGGCATCGTTCGCATTGAATTGTTTTGTTTTAATGTATTAATATTTAAAAAATATGATTTTATTTCAACATATGCACTTTATTATTCTAATACAGTATCTATATTCATTTTTATTTTACTTTACAGAAGTATTACTTAAAATCGCATGCGTAGGTATTTGTGGATCCGATGTTCATTATTTGGAGAATGGAAGAATAGGAGATTACGTAGTTGAACAGCCAATGATAATTGGTCATGAATCATCTGGAACTGTTATTAAACTGGGAAGTGCTGTTCAAAATTTGAAGGTAAATTACATGAGATTTATAAAATAAAATTTTTAAATAGTTTTCACTGACACTTCTATCTTTGTCAATTAATAATAAATAATATAATTTTATTAACTTCTATTACATTTTGTTGAGAATTAGACTAAGACCACCAGTTGGAATGGTGAGAGAAAAAGTGAGGGTAACTGGAGGGGGTAGCGCTTGAAATCAGTATTTGACACGTCTGCTTTCCTTGCTTGGTATTTCATTTATTTTATCCCTACATATAATGATTCTACATTGACGATGAGAATCGGTCAGATCTTGCCGATTCTTGGTTGTTGCCATGTGGTGTCAGCATGTACTGCAAGTAGAGGTAGGAGGTCGTAAGTCTTTGGATCCTCTTGATTCAGTACGCTTGAAGTGGTGGTGAAATACTACATTGAGAGTGAGAGGTCGTAAGTCTCTTCACATTTCTTCGTGTACTGCCACGGGGTGGTAACTTGAACTAAACTGTCTTGTAGTGTGGAAAGATGAGGAAGGCCTTGCATAGTGTGTCTGGTTAGTGTGCAATAGCTGCACCTAGTATAAGAAGGGCTTTCCGTAGCGTCTCTGCTGAGAGTGTGTGCAATGGCTGCACTAGTATTGGAAAGGCTTGCGATTGCTTTAAAGAGGCTTTAAAGTTCAACATTGCAAATTTTTCTGGACACTAATTTTCTTTTTAAAGATTTTTTATTAATTATTTACTCAAATATTATAATTAGATGAAAAAATATTTTAAAGATATAACTTCCAACTTACAAATGGTACAATAGAAAACCGATCATTATGAAATATATTTTTTCCTGATCAAAATCATAGGACAAAAAATTTGAATATAAAATCTTACTAAATATTAATTAATAATTGTGATCACGAACTTTGAAAAATATTATAAAAAGTGTGTTCGAAAGTTTGGTTTCTGGCTCGAACAGCCGAATTCAATAGTTCCGTTTATTAATCTCTCGCCGTAGCGATGCTTAGGAAAGGACAGACGTGGAAGGGCTGTACATATGTACAGTGTGTGCTTTCGTTTTAAGACATCGGTTATTCTGTTTTATTAACAATTACAGTATTGTAGTTCTATGTTCACTTCTTGTGGGAGAGAGCGAATTATTCTATTACAATGATATGGTGACCCGTTGGTGACGGTAACGATGTCTTTGATAGTGTTATGGGGATCAGCAACGGATGTTGTATATTCCGTCAAGGGGAATGGGTTCTATGCTGACGTTGTAAAGACGTTGTCTTCAGTAAGAAGAGTCTACCATGCTTATCAGGTGAGCATTTAAAAGTGGTAGTGGTAATTAGCAAGACGAGTCGGCCATACTTATAAAAGGAGTATGAGAGTATCTGTGTGCTAGTTATTCTCAATAAAGACAGATGATATACCTTCGAGTGCAGAAGGATCAGATACCATGGGTTGTGTAGTCGACTATTTTCTAGAACGGCAGTCAGCCTTTGACGTATTGTTGTCTGTGCGCACTGGAGGAGTGAACGAGCATTCCTTGCAATGTCTGCGCTGAGAGAGCGTGTATTGCGTGAACTTTTCCTTGGTGTAAAATTTGTATGATTGCGTGGCTTGGGCGTAGATGATCGGCTAAGACGAGTGACTGATTGTGGAGGAAAAACTGATACTGTGCACATTATGATTACCGACACTACGTACTGAATGACTGCTTTATGTTAACTACGTGGAGTCTTGTCGCGCGCTTTCCTAAGTATCGGCGCGGCAACCAACTCTAGATCGAAACAAGCTTTCAGCTAGTCGAGAATTCCGCAAAAGCAACGTAATCGTTCGAGGCCAAGCAGCTTTCAGAAACTATGGGGATTCTAAGTTTTCAGCTACTCGAGAATTCGGCGAAAGCAAAGTAATCGTTCGAGCCCAAGCAGCCTCCGGAAACGATCGAGAATCCACGCTTTCGACTAGTCGAAAATTCGGCGAAAGCAAACATTGGAAGATTCGAGAATTCAATCGACATTGCTGTGCAAAGGCTAAGCAGATTTGTAGAACGTTCGAGAATTCTGCTTTTGGATAATTGGGAAATCAAGGCCTCGATAAAATACTTCAATTCCGAACACAGTGATTATTACTTATTTTTCAGAGGTCTCTATCAATCATTTAATATTGTATTATCTACTATTCGAAAAATTAGTATTTTAGTTTGTAATGATTTGTAATAAACATAGTGCAGAGTGATTCTAAAAGTGATTGAACATAGTTATAATATACATAGATATAATATACCTTTCTATCGCATAAATCCAACACATCAATAATGTAACTGTAAAAAAACCATAATAAACCATATTTAACGAAGAAGTGCACACTGTATTCAACCAGCTCTTAAATTATTATAAAGTTATAGAAAGATTGTGGCAGTTCGTGCCAGGAAATCAGACAGTTTCGAACAGAACGTAACTATGATAAATTACTGATTAAATAAAATAATATCTTAAATTAAATTATTAAATATTATGATCTATTATAGTTATGTTGTCTGAATATGTTTTCTATGCATTCTTTCGGTTTTACTTTATGCCATTGATATTATTTTAACTAATCAAAATGAAGAATATACAAATTATAAATTGTATTTTAAATTTTGCTATATAATTATGTTACTATCTAATTATACATAATAAATACTAACTCATCATATATAATAGATTTAAAAATAAAAATATGTTTCACGATAATAATGCGTAAAACTAAAGGCATGAAACATTCAATATCAAAATTAATATATACTAAGGAGGATACTACTCGAGGTTATTTATATACAACAAGAAATTGATATCAAGAAATTCATCATATTTTTAATTTTTAATAAAATACATAACATTTGATATAAAAATAACTAATAAATTTTGTATGTAAAAAATATAAAATACATGTTTCTGCAATACTGTGTGTGAAAAATTGTTATCTAAATTCTGCTGTCTAAAGAAATACTTAAAATGTATTTAAGTTTTGAATTTCTTGTATTTCATGTGTTTGTAGTATCTCTCTTAGAATTATTCATACGTTTATCACTGTCGATACACGATCGATATATGGAAATTAAGTTACATATGAAAAACTAGTCAAGTAATATATTTAATATTTAATTAATTAATTAATAATGCAGTAATTATCATTAACAAGTGTAGCATGTATAGTAAATATTAGTTCTAGAAGAATAATAAAAAAATGTTTTTCTTTCAGAAAAAGATGTTAAAATAGACTTTTTAAACCAAGAAACTTTTAATAAGATTATAATTGTAAATAATTATCTTAGTGTTCGAGATTCTTCTAGTACAAGCACCCAGCACGACAGGATCGGCACTCTGCTAGCACATCACACAGTTCTCGACTGCATGCAAGTAACGCTGGCTCACGTTCTTGCATATTACCTCACCACGCGATCGCCACTCTGCTAGCACATCAAAAAGTTCCCGCCACTACGTGCAAGTAACGTCGACTCTCATTCTGCATAGGACCTTACAAGCGATTTACGCCCGCATGTAAATAACGTCGAAGCTATTTCTTACCTTTACTTGTATACCGCGAGTTACGCTCGCATCGAGTACACGAACGTGCACCAACACCACCACTACTTTGGAGCTCACATACACAAGCTGTGACGTCACACAGACGTTCTCTCACCAATTCGTACACTCACTACAGCTCACCCTACGCCGGCTACCAAGACGACACTAACTTGCTTCCCCTACCGCCACGAGTTCCCCACCACGACGACTAAACCCAAGAAGAAGGGGAATCACGCTTCAGGCCATCAAGAATACACGCACAGACTCATTGTCACCGCTACTACTGAAGAAACACTAATATATTCACTATATCATATACTCATTATAATAATTAATAGATTATTAACTACTCATTACTTATTACATTAATAAAAGTAACGACTACAAACACAAAGAACAGTATTGAATAATTGCATTGCCCTTTCCACTTGTCAGCAAGCCTCCACCCACCATCATAAGGAGGTTTTTAGTCTGATCCGAGACACTTTCCTCAATAAAAAAAGTTTATATATTCGTTTGAATATACTTATTAGTGTATATAGTTAAGTAAATATATAACGTCTGTAATTATTTTAATATATTTTGCATTTTAAATTTGAAAAAATGAATTTCGTTTATCTATTTATTAGGTATTTAATTAAAAATAATCATATGTATCATACCAATAAGAAGAAAATAATGTAATAAATATCAATTATGAGTAGTTATCAATACTTTTACCTTGATTCTGATGATTGTTTTTCTACATGAGTATCCATAAATAATTAATCATAAATCTAACATTCGTAAATTCTCAATAAAATATAAAAGATAGCTAAACTTTTTATGTTACTGAAAAGTTTTTATTCCATAGTTTAAAATCCTATTTTCATATTAATATTATTAAAATCAATAAAATCAGTATTATTTGTCTAAAATAATTTTATGTATTACATATTTTATCTGTATGATTTAAGTATTACTTGTTTTAGATTGGCGATAGAGTAGCTATTGAACCTGGAGTACCATGTCGTATTTGCGTATTTTGTAAAAGGGGTCGTTATAATTTATGTAAAGATATAAAATTTTGTGCTACACCGCCAGTACATGGAAGTCTTCGTAGATATTATAAACATGCAGCAGATTTTTGTTTCAAGTAAGGTGTTTTCAAATAAAATTAACGTTTTATAGATTTACATGTACATAAAATAAGTACATTTTTCTAGATTTTATATATATTATGTTTATATTTGAATATTTAAACTATTTATAATTTCATCACTCGTATGAATAAAAATCGATCAAATATAATACTTTTATCACATATTTACAGCATAGTTTGGAATTTCTTTAACTTATGGTACTTATTCTTATTTAACAGTAAGCCACATTAAAATTTTATTATTTTATTATATTTTTTATATAAGTAACTATATAAGTTTTACTATATCTAAATTAAAAAAAACTAAATAAAAAAAATGTAATTCGCACATTGAAATTATATTGTACTACTTGGTGCTTAAATAGTGGTAAACTGGATAAAAACTTAAGTGTCAACACCGCATATTGAAAATAAAATTACAGTGGACATAATTTTACATGTTAATTATTTCAATGTATCTTAAATAATTAAATTTATATAATTTTTTCAAACAGTTTTTAAATATTTATTTTCATTATTATCTTTAAACTTTCTGTCTATAATATTCTAACATCCATTGAATCGTTTTTTATAGATTTTGTTTTATCAATATTTTATTTTTATTATTTAGTTGTTCTTAAAGTATTAGATTTTTACATAACATTTTATCTAATTAATTAAATGATAAAATACTTTAAGTAATATAACGTGTCATTAGATACATTTTCGAGTTATTTATTGTTTAAATTGTTTCCATCTTTAAACTACAATTTTATCAGTTGGTTAACTGTCAGGTTGTGTTTAATACTTTTGTTGATAATTATTGTTATGTTTGATTTTTAATATTCAATTGTCCTACGATTAAAATTTCTATCTTCGCTTATATAAATGGATAGCTCAATTTATATATAGAATGATATTTATAAGTATACTTTCAATTCAGATTACCAGATAATGTTTCTTTTGAAGAAGGAGCTCTTCTTGAACCATTATCTGTTGGTGTACACGCTTGCAAAAGAGCAAATGTTGGAATAGGATCATCTGTTTTAATCTTAGGTGCTGGTCCAATCGGTCTTGCAACACTACTTGCAGCAAAAGCAATGGAAGCCAAACTAGTTGTAATTTCTGGTAAGGAATGAATTTTTATTTTAAAATATGAATTTGTATATTTTTAAACATATTTATTATATATCGATATTTTAAGTGTTTTATATTGGCTTATTTAAATTATTTGCAATATAGAATAAATTATATGAAGAAAATTGTATAATTATTAAAGAATGCAATAGTAATGATTCATGTAGTTATTTGCTGCATCAAAATCATGAGAAATATCTGATTGTTCAATAAGTATTATTAAGGACTAACTTTGAACCTAATGCATAGTGTCTGAGCGCACAAAGCGGTGGCAGGTAAATTCTCAGGATCGATTGACTCTGACCTCATGCATAGTGCCATAACGCACGAAACAGGTTGCAGGAAGAGATCAGCAAGTATTTGCTTCCACGAATCAATGCAAACAGTCCCCACTCAATGCCACATCAACGTATCAAGTCATTTCTTCACACTTATACACCATGTGAAATTAAGGATGAGATCAGGTGACCACCGCGTGGCACTATACTAAGAGGTGATCCGAGATTTACGATCTATTTCTCCGTGTAGTAATCCACCATCAAGCGTACCGCATCACGGAGATTCGGAGATTTACGACCTTCTACCTCAACATGTACATGCTAACACCACGTGGTAACAGCCAAGGAACGGCAAGATCTCAGCGATTCTCATTGTCAACGTAGAATCATTATAGTACAGTTGTAATTCTAAACAAAATTAATCATTTGTAATAAATAATAATATGTGGTGACTCTCGATCCAGTAAATATAATAATTTCAAACGATATTGTTAAATATTTAGTAAATTAATTTCCTAACGAAGGTAAAGTACATTTAAAGAGGTGAAAGAACAATTATTATTTATGAGTCAGCTATAAATTTTATAATTAAAATATGTTAAAATATGATTTTGTATTACACTTATAAGTAAATAAAAAAAGCGTGATTGTATATATGAATTTTGAAAGTACATTGGAATTTTCTTTATAAATAAATATAATCACAAAGGTGAAGAAAAATTATAAATATAAAAACTTAAATTTAAATTAAATTAAAATTTTTTTTAATATACATCTATTTAAAACTTTAGGTTATATAAAACTTTATCGAACAATTTATATTATACTGCGATATCTATAATCAACAACATAATTTTTGTAAATTTTAACATTTTATTAAACATATAATAAAATTTATATTCAAATGAATCATTTCTATTATAGACTTAATTGAATACAGATTAAATATTGCAAAAAAATTGAAAGCAGATCAAACGTACATTATAGATAATATATTTAAAGAAAATGAAAACATTAATAATATCCACAAGTTATTTAATGGACAACCTGATATTACCATAGATACATCAGGTACTGAATCTTCAATTAGACTTGCAATCATGGTATGTATGTTTTTGACACATAATTTTGAATATAATATATTTACTATGTTAATATTCTTATTATACATATAAATTATAAATATTTGTTTGAATTCTATGTTCACTATTATGTATACATTGAAGCAATAATTAAATAATTATCAAATAAAAATGATTTAATTTTATGCATATAACTTTAAAAAAAGAATGCTTTTATTTTTTTTAAATATATGAAATTGACATTCAAGTTTGATTCAATATACATATATTATTATTATACAAATATATGTGTTTGTATTTGTATAAATCCTTTCGTTTATTTATATTCTGGGGGTCTCTTATTTTTATTATAAACTTTTTTGTTACTGTTTTACTTCAATAAAAATTGATTTAATCCATTGTATACGTTTTTTTTAATAAAATTTTTTTTTATACGTGATCAAATTTAAACATTCATTCCCATCAGCAAAGTAGTAGTATTTAATGAATTTATTTTTTAATGTTTTTTTAAATTTTGAAAAGATTTCGATGCTTTGTTAACGTATTATCAATTTCTTGATTGTTTCTTAAATCTTATATTGTTTTTCCACTACATTAAATATACTTCAAATGAAATTAAATACCATACTTAAAATGTAAATTATAGACATATGAAAATATATTTCTTATAAATTCAATAATATTAATTTGTAATTTTCTATATTTTTATTATACATATTTATCTTGTTTATAAAAATATATTAATAACGATAAGTCATTCTTATTTTGTAATTATATTCAATCGTTTATCCTATTTTCAATTCATTCAATTGTTTATCATACTTTTTACGCTTTGTAATAATAAGATATACCTAGAAGTTTGATCTTAATGGTGAAAAACAAATGACCTTAACTACATTCAAGTAGGAAATGGTACAATCTAATTATAAAAATATGAAAAAATTATGTTGTTGACTCAAGATATTTAATTGAATACTTTTAAGTTTACTTAGATTAATATTTTCATATGACTGATGTGTGTTAAATCCAATATATATATTTTTTAATAAAGTATTTCTGTATAACATATATATTTTCACCTATTTGAAAACTAATATATTACACTGTTCGAAAGTAGTATTATTTCCTGGCTCGAACTGCTAATTTTTCGATTACTTTAATAATTTACCCCCCCCCCCCCCCCCCCCCCCCCCCCCCCCTCCGTAGAATTCCAATCCACGTTACTACTCGAAGACCATATAAACATTGTAGGCCATTTGAAACCAAAACATAACAAGTACACGAAAATTCTCGTCCTAAGTGTTTATAGAAACTTGAGAGCTAGAGACTAGCGATGGCGATAATCAATATACATACACCAATACCAGTATATAAATTATTATATACTGTATAAATTATAATAGAATAATTATATATAAATGCTATACTCTATAGTTTTTCTATCTTATTAGGATTTTAATTAAATATATTAATTGAAATACACTAAACGTAATGTTCGATTTATTCAAAAGAAATAATTAAATATTGATTACGTTTCAATTTTTAATCCAATTATTGTTTTAATATAGGATATGGAAATTGTATTTAAAATTTTTATCTTTGTAAGGATTATCAATACACTCTGTGGTAAGAGTCAGTCTAATACTATGTTCCTAGTTGCATTTGTTGATCTTGTAAGGATTATCAATACACTCAGTGCCAAGAGTCTTGACCTGATCCTATGATGAATAGTTCACCATCACTAGAGGCTCTGTCATGATGGTATTATATACAATGGTATATACAACGAATTATATACTCTCTGTTCGAGATTATGAGAACCTTTTCGAAGTTGTTAAATTTGGCAACGGCAAACCCAAAATCATGCATCCCCCCTCCGTCGTCGTCAAGTCTGCCATGTAGCCGCTACAGGCGCGTCAAAGGCAATGAAATCGGGAGCTTCTCTTGGCCTTCGCGCCACTGAGACTGATATTCTTGATGAAGGACGATGCCACGACAGGCGCTGCTCTCGCCCGAGAAGTCGCAAGCTCTCCGATTGGACACAAAATGGGAAGGGATCCTAAATGGACACCATGGTCAATGAACTATATTTAAGAGGGACAACCATAAGATTTAAGTACTCATGTTGAACTCCTCAAGGAAGTAGGACGAAAAAAAAGGGAAGTTCCCTCAACTAAGTCCGAAGGTAAGTCTTTGTTTCTAATCTCATCAACTGAAATAGCCATACCCACCATCACCCACCCAAGGTCTCTCCAGGTGCCAGGTCACTGAACATACTTAAAGGATCAAGGCCACTTCAAGGTACGCACCATTCAGCGCACACACTGCTGATCCACTACTGTAGAATTGACCGAGAATCATTCGTGCCCCAATTCAACACGCGGCACTATTCGAAGAAGTGGTAAGAGCTGTACAACCTCTCACTTCTCAGGGTAATCTACCACATACTACGTCACAAAGATCCGGAAATTTACAACCTCCTACCTCCTATCACACGAAGTGTGTAGTTCTTACAAAGAAAGAAAGAGTGCTCTTTCTCGAAGCGTGATTGCTTTAAATATCCATACAATAGCCTAGTTAGCTGGAAACAATGTATGCGATTGGTGTTGCTAGGTAGAGACTAGATAAGCATTGTAGAAATTCCGAGAACTATAACGCTTTAGGAATTTCGAAGGCCAATAGGCTTGGAGAATTTCGAGAATCGTAAGACTTTTTTCCGAGAATTTCGAGAACCAAAAACCTTGGAAATCCTCGGAATCCAGAACAATATGTTGTATTTTTGCTTTAGAATCTCATTTCTTACATTCATGTTTTAAATCATTACGCGATAATAATGTATTAATCTCGATAATATTTTATGATATTTATTTAGAAGTATATGTTTTCATTTCATTTTTATTTTGCTTTGTTTATTCTTAAAGATTTTCATTAAGGTACTTCAAATTTATACGTGTTATACATGATTATGTTATTAAATAGTTGTTATACCTTTATAATTTTATTTGATCTCTCATTTTATTTGAAAAATATTTATGCATTTTTACCTTTAATTTAATTTTTCAGTTTTTTAAGATGTCGTATACTAGATTCAATTTGAATACTGTTTAGGATTAGAGCAATTTCCTAGACCGTTGGTTCAAGGAATTGTTAATCTCTCTAGCTCTCAAATTTCTGTAAATATTTGAGGCCAAGAATTCTCGAGTAATTCGGCTTTAAATGTCCTACAATGTTTATTTGATATTCCGATAGCAACGTCCATTGAAATTCTCCTATACTCTAAAAAGTTTTGTTTTTCCGCAGTTCTCGAAATTTATAGAGTATATTCTCGAACGTCTGCAAATTAGTCTAGTCTCTGTATGGCAATACCTATCCATTGCTGTCATCTACCTAATCTGTCGCGTAGATATATAAAGTGCGTATGCCACGAACATCGCGCTCTCTCTCTCGGTGACAACGCCACGAGATAGGCTCTCGTGTCTTACCAGGATCATCAAGGTACAGGCGTTCTCTATTAGCAGAGCCGACACGGAGTGAATACGCCTTCCGTTTCGTGTGCGTCGTTAACAGACTATTATAATCGAAGCCACAAAGAGAGTACACGCTATCAATTGTACAAGCATTCAGCAATCCCACCTGCAAAGAGATGATACTGAAGGAGCATCGTAACACCGTCCAATCCCAAGAATTAAAAGATTCTCACGCATCCTGATAGCACACTCTCTTTCTCCAATCTTGACCAGTAAGTGCAAAGAACACACAAGGCATTCACAAGTAATTACTAACACGATCACAACAACACACGATTTCCGCACCATACGCAATTGCACACTCACACTTCACAAAACACCAGAAGTAGCACTACACCAAGAGATAGAGAAATTTCTTCTCGGTGTAGTAATTTACCAGCAAACGCACTACGTCGAGAATATCTGGAGAGTTACGACCTCCTACCTCCACATGTCGAGCGTGCCACCACTAAGTGGAAATCACCAAAGAATATCAAGGATCACAACAACACACATTATCAACTGAGAATTTTGTAGTACAATTGTTGTTCGGGATTGAAGCAGTCCCATGAATTTCAAACAAAAGAAAGGTCATATACGCAGTCCGGCGTACCGCGTGTGCGCCTAGACTGACCGCGCGTGCAGCAAGGCTGACCACTATGTGCGCCTAGGCTGATCCGCACGTGCGGACCGAGGCGGGTACTCGAGAAAGATGTTTACAAACAAAACTCGGCAAGTCCGAGCAAGTTTACGATTTGAAATATTATTTACTGCCAGCACTCACAAAAAAGGGACGCCTTCGAAACTTCTAGAAGCTTCGTTTTCTCACGCCAAAGGAAAATTTCTGGAAGGGACGCGCATCGACACTGTTGCCGGCGCTGAAGACGCCGCATGCACATTTAAGCGCAACGCGCCATGAGGCGAAGCTCATTCGTAAATTCACTCCGCTCTCAATCAAGCGTAACTGCCGGTCAGTGCAAGTATACTGTAAAGACGCCGCGTGCCCACATTTTCGACAACATAAGCTCACTCGTAAAGT